AGAAGATTCGAGAGGCCGAGTTGGAGGCTATGAAGGAGGAACACCGAAAGAGTGAGAGCATCCTGGGCCAGATTTCCTCCATCGACTATGATAGTCGTGGACTGTTGACACTCCATCGCAGAATATGGGTTCCATAAGCAGGCAGTGTGCGCCAGATCCCAATGGAGGAGGCACACAAGTCCTAATTTTCCATCCATCCAGGGGCGACGAAGATGTATAGAGATCTTCTTCTTGATTACTGGTGGCCCTGCATGAAGCGGGATGTAACCTGGTTTGTCGATAGGTTCCTAACCTACAGGAAGGTCAAGGCCGAGCACCAGAGACCGCACGACAAGACGCAACCATTGGATATCCCTATGTGGAAATGGGAGGATATTACTATGGACTTCATCACGAAGCTTCATAGGACCACACGGGAAGTGGATTCAATTTGGGTCATCGTGGATCGGTTGAACAAGAGTGCCCATTTCATCCCGATCCAGGAGAGTACTTCGGCCAAGAAGTTGGCCGACATTTACATCAAAGAGATAGTATGTCGACACAGAGTGCCGATATCCATGATTTCTGACTGAGATGTACGGTTTACTTGCAGATTCTAGAAGAGATTTCATGATGATTTGGGTACCCGTCTGCACTTCAGCATGACTTTTCTCACCCACAGACAAATGGTCATAACGAGCGGACCATGCAGACTTTGGAGGATATGCTGCGGGTGTGTGTCTTGGACTTTGGTGGTAGCTGGGATACCTACCTTTGCTTGCCAATAGGGATTGAGTGACTTTGAACTTTTCAAGTCTTGAAACTTGTGAGATAGGGAGAATAATTGGAGGAGGTGGAGGAAGTAAAGTATGATTTCCAGTCCTATTAATGAATAACAAAGGGATTTTAATCTTTCACCTTGATTTCCATGTGGGATATCATCTTCATTAGGCAAGCTTGTTCCTAAAGATTTGGGAAGACCATAGTTGTCTAAACTATACATCTACAATGGGAGAAATTCAAGTTAGTTGATTTAAGTGCTTAATATAACACCCAATATGAAACACTAACGCTAGGACCCAATAAACTATTTTATAACTTGGAAGAGGGATGTCGTAATCCAAGCTACAAACTATTTGAAGGTAGGTAAATGATGATTTACAAATTTCCACCATGAAAACGAAATTTAACATTAAGTTTTAATTGGATTGAAACTCCTAGATCTTTTGAGATTCATTGAACTTTCAATCGCATGTTTAAATCGCGATTGTGCCCTCTCAATTTTGTGACTGGGATGCCGAGGATCACAAACAAGGTGTGAATAACCATGCAAATTAACTTGCCACCCTTAACTTTATCACCTACTCGATGTGTCGGTTAACCACACGCGCTCCACCAATCTATCATAAACATTTAGTTACCCTTTTCCACACATTGTTAGTCTCATGTTAGTGTGTCGGTTAACCACACATTCTCCATTAACGACTTAACAAGGGTGCAAAGTGTTATTTCATGAGTTAGCACCATTTCACATTTTCCTAAGTAACTAAGATTGGGAATTTATAAGTGTTTAGTTACTTATTTTTTTGTCAATATACTATGAATGAAGGGAGAATTATAGTCCTTTCCTACCCGTTCGGCTAACGACCCTCCAACAGTCAAGAAAGCGGTGGGTGAGAGTAGACACCCATTAAACTGCCATTTTATAGGCAGGAACCTTATACCCCCCCCCCCTCCTTAGAGACTGGCTTCGTGAATGAGGCTTCCTAACGATAAGATTGACTTTATCTTATACATATATATATATATATATATATATATATATATATATATATATATATATATATATATATATATATATATATATAATCATTAACTTTTAATATTATAATAGTATAAGGTTGAATTTTAAACTTTTAAAATTATAAGGTTTGATTTGGAATTAAAGTACTAGTGTGTGTGAGACTTTACAAATTCCAAAACTTGAGGGAAAGTTTTGAAACTTTTCAAAACTTTTGGTTTTTCATAACTTATTAGTTTAATTAGTTTTAAATGAGAAGACTCTTGAAAACTCATAACTTGAGGACACGTTATGGAGGTCATAAACCAATTTATGGAGAAAAGACTTTCCAAGTTCATAACCTATGGTTTTAATAAAATTCATAAATGAGACTTTTCATATAACTTGAGGACAAGTTACAAAAACACATATTATGAATAACTTTTAGAATAATTTGGATTGAAAACAACTATTACAAACATGTCTAGCGATATTCATAATCTTCATTAAACTCATATGAACAAGACAATTCAAATGAAACAATTTTCATGTAATTAGCCTAACCATTAAACTAACACAAAATATGAAAATTTTGACAATTATCTTTTGAATTGGATTAGAATGATCATTACCACATCAAAAATAGGTTTATAAGTTCAAAAACATCTTAGGGTAATGATTCTAGTCCAATTCCAGCCTTAAAAGTCGAAAAACTGCACTTTGGAGCGCCAACTCGTCGAGTTCATGAACAAACTTGTCAAGTTGGTCAGTTTTGTGCTTGGAATTGGCAAGTCCATCAGTGGACTCATAGAGTCAAAGGAAAAATCATGCGACTCGGCGAGTCACCTAGTGGACTCGGCGAGTTCGTTGTCCAAAGCCCAGAAACTAGATTTTTTCAGCCTTTTTTCAGCAATTTGCATCAAGTATAATTGAAAGCAAGCCTAGGATCTGATACCACTATTGGGTTATGAGCATTATAACACTCCTAAGGTGTACATGCAACCTTAAATACCTTGGATCTATGTTTTCTCTATTATACATGCAAACTTGAACTTTCCAAGGTATTACCCTAACTAGCATATAATCATAGGTACTTGTATAACAAAACTAGATAGAATTACATACCTTTTCTTGTGGTTGATTCCTAGGAGCTTTAAGTGCTTAGCACCAATAATGTGAATGCCTCAAGTGGAATCACAAATCTTGAAAACAACTTGGAAGACTTAAGTGAATATGGAGCTCTCTAGAAAAATCGGCCACCTTTCTTTTTCACACACTAGTGCCAATTTTATGAGCCAAGGACCCCTTTATATATTATGGAGGATTAGGGTTACATCCATGTAAACCCTAATACCCATGACCTTTCATTTACATATGATCCAAAGGGTTAAAAGCTCCATGAACTATCCATGGACTTCCATACTATCTTAGCCCATCCTAAATAAACCTTGGTCCATTCCATATATATATATATATATATATATATATATATATATATATATATATATAAGAGTCCATATTTAATTAGCCTATTTTGATCACTAAATTAATTCCAAATCAATTCTAGATCAATACTAATTAAATAATATGATTTCATATTAGTATATTAGAACTTATAACATATTAATAAACCATAAATATCCTTTTTCTCATACGTCTGTCCATACAAATTGTTTCGGTGAAGTGCAACCGAAATGGACCATGCCGGGTCGGGTCAAGTATATACCAATTATAGTTATGGACTCAGACACTAATCCAACAATTACAACACCCCTCTTCATAGTCTGAATTATGAGAACATGGTAAATAAAAACTTTATAGCAAAAAGACTGATGAAGTATCACGTCTTTATGTAAGACATCATGAATCGTGTCCCATATGCTCCGGGTATAGGATCGATTATGTGTGCTATAATATTTATCCGTTCTAAATTTTCCAAATTCCTAGGGCATTAAAAGGGAAAAAAGACTAGAACTGAATCGTGTCCCATATGGACTTTTGAGAGAAGAGGTTATATATGATTTATTAATATATTATAAATTATAATATATAAATATGAAATCATATATATTTTAATTAGTATTGATCAAGAATTAATTTAGTGATCAAAAGAGACTAATTAAATCTATGGGGACTAATTATGATAATTAGTTATATTTATATGGGTTGGGCTTATGATCCATGTTGGACCAAGTTTATGTATGGACACATAAAGAGTTGGGCCACATGAACCATGGATCATAAAACCCATGGGGTATGGATTTGGGTTATATCCATGACCCTTGAAATCCCACATATAAATATGTACTTATTTGCCCAAAATCGCCATTTCTATGATTCATGGAGTTCATGTTGTTTTTGTGTGCATGGATTTCTCTCTCAAGTTCATCCTTTGTCCATGATGTGTTGTGATTCCACTTGAGGCTTCCATACTATTGGGGCTAAGCTTTTTAAGGCCAAATACATCAAGACTTCAAGCTCCATCAAAAGGTATGTTATCCTAACTAGTATCTTATATGATTTATGTCAAATGCATGCTAGTTGTAGGTTTAATACATTGTAAACCATTTGCATGTATAATTAGTGAAAACATAGATCCAAGGCATTTTGGGTTGTATGTGCACCATAGGATGCTATAGTATACTAAAACCTAATAGATGAGACAATAGACTGTAAAGGACGGTACAACGGAGAAGCCCTTGAAGCCGGATGTTTGGTCGGAGGCCGTGCTGCAAAACCCTATTTTGTTTTTATACACTTTAGCCTGACAAATGTAGGAATCATTGTGTGTGAAGAGGCACCTTTCCTTCATGCATTATGATATGCATGTGTGATTTAAAGTTCCCCCACTGGGTGCATCCTCTGTTTCCTTTGTCTTGCACACCGCTGACATATCCAGCCGTGATCTATTCTCCCTTCAAGTGGTTCGAGAATGTGGTTTATGGCTCTAAATCAGGGAACATTTTTAAGATGCGTAGGGTCCATGCAACACTAATTTTGACCATGTTGACTGATGTTGATCAAGTTCTATGGTATCTTTCTTTTTCCATTTTTAGTTTAGTTCATCCCGAGCTCATTTTAGTCTTATTCTAACTTGAGGACAAGTTAGGTTTAACCTTGGGGTGATTATTTTTACAATCAAGAATGATCCCTCAAAACCCACAAATATCCAAGGGTTTTAGCCAAAGTTAATCAAAATAAAACGTTTTTTGCATCAAGAAACTACCAACTACTTCGAAAGATGAGAGGAATAAGTATCAAGCTCCAAAAATCACCTCCAATGGTCTCCAACGGTGAAAAATCGAAGTCTTTGCTGAAAGATCCAACCCCCAATGTAAATGGTGAGCAAAATGACCAAAATGCCAAAAGTGTGCAGTTGCGTGGGAACCCGTGCAAGTGTTGCACGACTGAGACTCCACCCTCGCAGGTGTTGTTGGAATGCTATTGGCCTATTTTTCTTAATTGAACTATAACGCCCATGTTTCTGGGCTAAGAAGTAGTATAGTGATGTAATAGTCAAGGACAACCTTTGTAACTTATTTTGAAGTAATAAAGATGAATTACTTGAATATTATGTGAATTATGTGATTTTTTGTGCTTAAATACTTGTTTATAAAGATAGAATGAAAATAAGCACCACAAATAAAATGTTAGATAAAGCAGATATCAATGAAGAATGTTGTAGTGGTCGTGATAAGGATTTCGGAGATATAAAGAACGCCGAAATCCGAGTTATAACAAATAAGTTATGGCTCGTCAAAGTTTCGCGACAAAACCAGCACGACACTGTGTGACTTAAATAATGAATTTATGATAGAGTGATTTTTAGCTTTAGCGATCTAAACAAAAGTCATAGTGTTCGTTAAACTGAGAGCGTACATAAAAAGAATGCACAAATCTGACTTCGTATGAGGAAATTATGATTTTTCAAAGTTTCGGCTTAGCGGTATACAACCCGGTATTAGAATAGCAGATCGACCCATTTTTAACTGATACAACCTAAATGAAAGTCAAAGATCTCGTTAATAGTAGCATAACAGCAAAAAGACAGACGGAAACGGACGTCGGACGAAGAAGTTATGAATTTTTAACGGACTTTTCCTGTCCCGGCTTGTTAAAAATATCACTTTAAAAATGAAGTCAAAATTAGTCGATGGAGTCTAAACGAAAGTTGAAGAGAATCGTCCCACCTATGCGTGGATATAAAGAACGTCAAAAATAGAGCCCGTATGCGAAAGTTATGAATTTTAGAAATCAGGATGCGAATTTATGAGAAGCGATGACGTGGCACGATCTCAGCCCTCCCTTGCTTGCCACAGTCTTGCTTTCGGATGGTGACAGTTGGCTCGCTACGCCTCGAGTACAAATATAACGCTCAACGTCCGAGGAACGCCGTGCATACGAGAAGGGAGCGTTGCGCGGACTCGCTTTGCTTGGATCGAAGACTGGCCACGATGCACCACCAAAGCTCTGACGTGTGTCTCTACGCCCCGCGTAGATTAGAGGAATGCAATGCGTAATCAGCAACTTCGCCCTTATAAATGGAGGTGCGAGGGTAGCCGGCTAACTCACACCTTTTCCCATCTTTTTCTGTCTCTAACATCTCTCTAGCCTACCCACCCCCATCCCCCAAGCCTAGGGTACCCCTTAGCACCAGAAGGAAGCCCTGGAGCTCCCGAAGGCTCCAAGAAAAAGAGCTTTTTGGCTTGGAAACTCTGCTTCAGCGAATCCCGGTTTTTGAGAAAAACCCGTTGTGAGTGAGATACGCCTACCTAATTTTAAATATAGCTTTTATTTAAATATAATAATGTTATTAGGACCTTATAATAAATATTTGGGCTATTATTATGAGTTATATAAGTGTCGTTATAATATCTGTTTAGCCACTAGCAGTACGGAGAATCTGGTTTGAAGGGCCGCTTGGATTGTTGGATTTCAAAAGTGCTATATGCCAAAATGGTTCTACCCTCCGGTGTTTCATGTCTGGCCCATATCTGTACATAGTGGGTAAAAAGTATTGTTTTAACGCTTATATAATAGTAATAATACCAAGACTATTAATTAGTCTCGATGAACATTAGACTAAACTATAGTGGTAATAGTACTAGGTTTCGTCGAAGGAAAATTGTTGTAAGTAAACGAAGTGTTGTCCGCGTGCAGAATCACCACCTTAACAGGTGAGTGAATATTTACTTTCATCTTACACATAGATAGGAAGTATTTTATATAAATTATGTGCTATGTGTGCATATTTGTGACAACCGTCAAATTCTGGTTAAGTCAAGGTCAAATAAAGTCAAATCGGTCAACTCAACTAGCCCTTGTATATTAGGGTTTACCTTATGTTGCTATTTTATGAATACCTACTGTAATACAAAGTATCACTTTAAACTTTCATGTGTTCAAAAATTCTAAACCCTAGTCAGGGTCAGTGATGTAACAACTTGACAAATTACAATTACATACCTATCGGAAATGTATAACACTCTTAACAAGGCATAACGAGGTTTACAAACCTGGCATTACAAAGCTAAACGTTCATAAGGACCACAAACAAATCCTCTCACTACTAGAAAAATAGCCTTTTACGACGCGCAATTAATGACACACACGGATAGAAGACGCGCATTTGTACGTGCCCTAAAAATCGATGTCAGTTTTCCAAAATTTGAAGGATAGAAGGCACACATTTTTGCGTGCCCTAAAATTAGTGTCCAATAAAAAATATTAAAAACACGGAGGGCACTTATTTAAAAATGGGTATCGTGTAGAGATGTCGCTTTATATTTTTAATGAGACGCGCGTACCCTTCTTTTGCAACTCGGGGGAAACGAAAAATCCAAAAAGTTTGAAAGGTCGCCGTGTTATCCTCTACCTTATTACCATCTTTCTTTTCTATATCTCTATCTCCCATACTCTAATACCCCAAAAAACCCTAATATCATTGTCAATCCTCTTTTCTCCTACAATAAAATAGCAATATCACCAAATCTCCGAACTTCCACAAGAAAATGCTTCTGACCGATGTCTTTACCCACCCTCACACTACTTCTCTTAGTTAAATATGACAAAAAACTTAATTGGAGAACCACGACCACTTCTCCTTTTTCCCGCCCTAGTCGGCAGAAATTAAGGATTCTCGCGCCTAGCAGTCGATATTCATGCCTAGCAGTCGATATTCATGCCTAGCAGAGGATTCTCCTTTCTCCCCACACGGTAAAATTGTTCAATTTGGGAAACTGTTACGTGGCTTATCTTTGGTTTTGCTTTCTATCACTATTTTCACTAAGTGACCACCGTCGGATAATCAGCAACCATCTCTTCTCTCTTCAACACTTTTAGTTATTCTACATATTGTCATTGTTTCGCTTTTGAACATGTTCTTATCTTTTTAATTTTAACAGAGGAAGATGGCGGTGGTTCCTACACTAAGACAAGGTAAGTTTTCTTGCGAAACTATTTTTCGTTTTCTGATTTTTTTTCTTTCTTTCCGGGATTTTGACTGGTTTACAACCATACATTGAAATTTTGATGGCAAGATTTTCATTTTGTTATTGCACAGAATGTGTTCGACAAAATGCCACATTGAAGATATAGAGCTAAGCTGATTCTTTCTTTCCGAGATTTTGACTGGTTCACACATTCTTTCTAGTTTCATTTTGGATTTATATTTCTAAATTTATACAGGGTGACAAGTCATATTGGTACCAACAATTCATTCCCATACTGCCCTATATCCTCTCTGCTGATGATGAACAAAGCAAAAGTCGACTACAAGTTTTTATCTGGTATTTCTTTTCTTTTTTCTTATGAAGTTTCTTTCCTAAGTGTTGGTGAATGTGAGATTATAAGCTTTTCTTTCACATAGGGCATTGCTTGCTGTTAGATCCCAGTTTGGGATGTTGGATGATGGTGCTCGGATTCATGTCATTCCTCATTTGTTTCGTGAAGCAGTTGACTGTGGGAAGTTGATGCTGGAAACCAGTATTGTTGGAAGAGATGAATTATTAGATACAAGCAGTGTCTCAAAGGAATTCGGAACAATACAAAACTTGATACAAAAGGATTGTGTGCGTATTGCGGTCTGTCTTATTGCTACTTCCATTTTAATTCACATCAATTACTTTCCATTCTGTCTTAGAGACTGTTTCTTTTTTACTTAATGAGCTTGATGGGTTGAGCATTTAATGAACAGAATGAGACAACCCCTTAGTTTGAATACCAATGGAATCTTATTAAATCCTATGGTTATGTGATTTTTAGGTTTCAGATGAGGTTAAATATTTAAGACATAGCCGTGCCGAGCAAACAAAACAAGTTGCTGAGTTTCGTGTTAGAATGAATGAAATTATATCTTCTAATTTGAATCAATGGAGAGCTTTTAAAGATGATATACACAGTAGCTTAAGTTCTATTCTTGCCTCAGATGATAGAAGAAGAGCTTCCTTTCCTCACAGCCATGTGAGTGAAGCAGTGGCTGCAATCTGTGATGCCAAGTTAAAAAGTTTAGACATACAGGCTGTAGTTCAGGTAACTACCCTTTACAGATGCTTCATCATCACACATTTCAATTTGAGTTTTATTTATTAATTTTCCTGTAAATCAGGTCTGTTCATTGCTTCATCAAAGATACAAAGATTTTTCTCCAACTTTGGTCCAAGGCCTTATGAAAACATTAAATTTGCTTTGGCAGTGCTCAATGTGTATATGATTTGTGATTTTAAATAGATAGTATAATGGTGTATTTGCAGAGTAGTAGTAGAAGTGATGGTTAAGCAGAACAATGTTTTCCCAAACAAGGAGATGCAATGGTAACTTTTCTTCGAATCATAAACATATATTAGCTAATTGTTACTTTATATTTCAAATGATTTTGCATCTTAATTTTACCATAACCTAAGTTAATTTTATTGATTACTACAGCCAGGCAACAAAAGGTTGTTAAAGTATTTCCAAGGCCAGCTGTATCACTTTGTCCTCAGGTTCCTTGTGAAACCTCGAAGTACAACATGAAACTTAGGGAGGACCGTGGATTTTCTCTTGAAGAGTTGAAGGTAATATAATATTTCAATGTTTTATTAAGAAAAGTTTTCAATGTTTAATTAAGAAAACTTAGTTTATCATTAAATTTCTAATTATTAATCATATATTAACCATTTTTGTATCTGAAAGATAGTAATGTTGTTTTATGGATATCTGTTACTATTAAACTGATAATATTAAGTATACAACTTGGGTACACATATACAATTTGAAAGCATTGCTTTATGGCATAATCACCAAATTGTCAAAAAATGTGGTGTTGTAACATTTTTCTCAAAATCACCACCCATATTGTAAAATAGACTTTGCAAAGTTTTTTTTTTTTAAAAAAAAACTTTTAAGTGTAGGTCCCCACTACAAAAAAAATTAGTAAATCTGTTTCATTATAAGTTTATAACATTTTACTTTGGATTATCTGCCCAATTATATTTATAGCAATGTCAACATAAAGTTATTGGGTATTAACTGTTTCATAAGAAAAAATTTGGAAGTTGCACCATGTTGTCTTTATTAACTTAATGTTAATGATTTGAAATTTAAATTTGAACCAGGTGAACCCTGATATGGTATTACAACTTGAAAATGTTGGCCTGAGTTTTACAGGAAAAGATGAAAGTGGCCAGCGTATGCAGGTATATAGTTAGTTTTAAAAGACTAATTTACTCTAGCATTTTAAGACTTTTAAGTTAATTTTTTTTTATTTTAATCTGCGCAGATTGTTGCACATGCTTCCCACAAAACAAATTTTGTTTACACAAATTTATCAATAAATACCTTTATAACCATTTCATTATCATTTATTGAATATATTCATTCTAATTGTGCACCTTGGTTGTAGCTTCTTTCGGATCTTTTGGGAACCATTTAACCGAATTTGAATCAATAGGACGAAAAATCTGCATAAATAAAAATAAAGCCCTTTTGAGTAAATTGCAAAATTGGTCCCTGTTATATCCCCAAAAGTGTAGTTTGAGTCCATTTCTTTTTTCATTTGCATGGTCAGTCCAAAAAAGGAAACTTCCATGAAAATTTGGTCCTTCGAGTTAACTTCCATCTAAAAAAAGGACTTAAACTGCACTTTTTGGGATATCACAAGGACCAATTTTGCAATTTACAATTTTTTTACCTGTACATGCCAGCCTTCAGGGTCCTGATCACTAAGTTAAGGTTCATCATTAACAGTTAAAAACTCTGGCATAGTGTCTATTTGGACTAAAGCATCATCATACATAGCCTTCAATTTTTTTACACCACTAGCTATTGAAGCCTTTAGCCATCTCTCCTTAATGTTTTTCATAATATCATATATATGCAGCCGGACCATCAATTTTACTATGTAAATCATGCCATGGTTCTCTAGGATAAGCCTGTAAGATTATTACCATTTTTAAAAAATAAAACATCATTCACTAATGATATATTAAAATCGTGTGAATTTTTTAATATAGTTTATAATGATTAAATGGAAAGTTATAAATAGAATACAGTGAAAGTAGGATTATGAAAGCCGTCTGTGTGTATTGTGTCTCGGGTTTTTAATATCGGATGCTTTGGATTATCGTATCGACCATTACATAGATCGAGTCCTCCAATGAAAGATATAATTTTTCTTTTACCATTTTTAACATTAGTATCTACAATTACTGTTTTTTATATTGTTTCCTTGACATGCCAACAGTTATGCCTGCAATGGTGACAATTTTTGACAAAAAGTGCAATCCTCTAATGAAGCTTGGAACAGGCCCTTACAATACCATTCACTAGAACCCAAAGGGAAAGTGTATCCTTCAAAAAGTATACTTTTTGAATTTTTTTTCCTACACTCTTTTCATACTAAAAGACTATTTTGCCATTAATCATTTCTTCTCTAGTTATATGCGTGGCAGGCTATGGTAACCTACCAGGTGACATGGTATGCTTATCTTCTTAGTTCTTTCCCCATTACCACAATTTTTTTCATAACTTATAGAACATTTAAGAATATAAAGGTGCTCTTACTAGAATATATGCCTTCAATATTGTTTATTCTCAAAGTATTGGTTGTTGGGGTAAATTTGTCATATTCACATCATAATCTTTTCTCAATTTTCGTGGGTAATAATCTCATTTTTTTTCGTTTTAGATTGACTACCTTCATTGGACTGGAATATGTTCGCACTGATTTTACTAGTAGGGAAGCTAATCGCAAGTGGGTCCCATGCTGGTGAAGAGGAGGGAACCCATGTGATTTTCCAGCTCTCCAATTCTCCAAAGCCCAAGGTTCTTATCTTCTACTTATACGCATCTTCTCTTCCTGATTCTGTTGCTTTGGGAGTCAAATGATTTTAGTTTTGAGCTTGCGCTCCTGTTTCCTGAACAACAACCCTGTTTGTATTTGAGTATTATGTACTGCTTACATTATGTTCTTTGGTACCAAGTACACTGTGTTTTTTTCCTGCTTCTTCAATGAGCAATTTATTATGAAATGCCCAAAATGCCCTAACTATCTAACATCACAAACAAGTAATATTAAATGCCCAAAATTCCCCTAACTCCTCTGCACTAATAAGATGCTCCTAGAATTTCTCTATATTGTTTAGATCATCAATTCAAATGATGAATTGGTGACTAAGACTGATGTCAAGAGGACAAAAATTATAGTTTTTTATAAAGACAAAAATGCCCCGGCTTTTTTTATGTGTAGGTGAGTGTTGTAAGAAACGAACAAGGTGGGAACTCTGTGACAACTGTTTTGCTGCGTGGAAGTACAGATAGCATACTTGATGATCTGGAAAGGGCTATTGATGATGGTGTAAACACTTACAAGGTAATCTGGACCTTCTTTTTTCTTTCACCAAAAACAATGAGAGGGCAGTTTGGGAAATGAAAGGAATTTTTTTTAGGAAAAACCTAAAGTCAGAGTTAATAATTTTGTTGCTTCTTGTTTTTGCGTTTAGTAACAAGATAAAATGCATTACTGTTTGGATAAATTATATTTTTATTCCTTGTATTTTTTTAAGCCTTATGCAAGGATAGTAGAATTGTGCCTGGAGCTGCAGCCACTGAAATTGAATTAGCAAGAAAACTGAAGGAGTTTTCTTTCTCGGAGACATGGTAGGTAATCTGAATAATTAGTTTATGTTTTACTAAATTTGTTTTTTGATTGATGATTGATATGATGAAGATTAGTTCAGTATGCAATTGGAAAATTTTCAGATAGCTTTGAAATGATACCAAAAACATTAGCTAAGAATGCTGGGCTTAATGCTATGGAGATCACATCTACTCGATATGCGGATCATGCCAATGGAAATGTCAAAGTTGTGCCTTACAGGGTTGATGACAACGAAAAGCTCTGGAGTTAGAAGAGGAAACGAAAGCTCAAGCTGAAAGAGATATGATGCTGCAAATGCAAGTGTTGCATTCTTCATTTCAATTGTTAGTATGAAACACATAGTAGATTAGATGAATGTAATTTTATATAATGTAAGAAATAGAATTGTATGACATTAAATTATATGCAATGAATTGTATTTTTTGTATATGGTATTTTATTTCTATTATGAGACATTAAATGAAAATTTAATTTTAAAATTAATAAATATATAAATATATTTTTTTAAACATTTAAATTTACGATACGCAAAAATGTGTGTCATCTTCATTTATGACATGGCCTTTCTTGACATGGGCTTTCTTGATACGCATTGTGTGTCATTAACACGCACATCGTAAGGTTACAACACGCGAATGCGTGTCGTCTTTCTTTATGACAGGGCCTTCCTTGATACACATTGCGTGTCGTAAACGTGCGTCGTAATTGCGCGTCGTAAATGCGCGTCGTCTCTCTTTATGACAGGGCCTTCCTTGGCACGCATTTGCGCGTCGTCTGAGCCTTTTACGACGCGCAATGAGCGTCGTAAAAGGCTGTTTTTCTAGTAGTGTCTCTTAATAACCCTCACTCTATCTCAATCTCTCCCAAATACCTCTTTAAAACCTGTTTCAACCTTTCATAATCAGTTCGAGACATTCCGACCCTTAACATAGTCAAAAACCACTCAAAACGGGAAGTTGCGTGAAAAACAGCCATATACGGCCGAAACCTCTTAAAAACCGAACCCTAAGGACCAAACTTATCAATATCCAAGAGCCAAAGCCTTTTAGGACCGAAGTTGCCCGTCGATCTGGATTCACCTTTCGGTCTGGATTCACCTTTCGGTCCGGATTCACTTTTCGGTCCGGATTCACCTTTTGGTCCGTATTCACCTTTCGATCCAGATTCACCTTTCGATCCGGATTCACCTTTTGGTATGGATTCACTTTTTGGTCCGGATTCACCTTTCGGTCTGGATTTACCTTTCGTTCCAGATTCATCTTCAGTTCGGGACCTCTTGCCCAACTTCCCTCAACCACACGACTCTAAACCAAAGGAGAACCGCCCCCCCCCCCCCCCCAAACAAAGGGTCTTCCTGGTCCGAGGCCATTTGAGTCCGGAACATGATGGTTTTGGAAACATAAAACTCTACGTACTACGGAACACAGAGCTCAACCGGAGTCCTCCTCATCAGGGACCTGCCTATTCCGAAGGCTGCTTACTCCACCTCCACCCAGAACCGAGCCTAAACTTCGAACTTAGTTGATCGACTTCGAATTTGGCTAATCGAATTCTGACTCACCCCTATAGCCAACTTATGGAGTCAGGTCGCACCACAACGAACTAAGGATCATCGTTTCAATCATAACTAGGGGAAACTCCTTACTATGAATCGTATCTTTTGTGAAAAATTTTATCCAAGGGATGGTTGACTTCCAAAAAGTTATGACACACCCCTTTCTCCATAACCACTCTATGACAACCTATTGACACTATTCCCCTAGTGCCTAGGCAAATCCATATCTTTGTTCCAACACTCCATCAGATTCTCTTACACAAATCCACTCATGTAAATCCTCAATCGTTACTATAAACCCTAAGCACATCTTTCAAAATACATTTTCTGTTTTACTCTTATGTATCTAGAAATTGACAATATCCAGGAAGCAATCTCATCCTCATTTCATCTTGGTAAGTCCTTCATCATTGATCTTGAATGTTCTTCACTCATGAGTTCACGACTCAAATTTCTTATACGAATTTCATCATGTTTGCCCATAGGATCTTCGAACTCGTAAGCTTTTACCAAGTATTCTTGTGACAACCCAAAAATTTCCGCTAGTTTTAACGTCGAAATTAATTATGTCAAAAATTAGCCAATTTATCCCGAAAATATTTTTGACCGGATTTAAACCCGTTGGAATATTTTAAATAATATTCGTCAAGCGAACCAAAAATTAGGTGGTATAATTTTAAAATGTTGCCGTGTTTAACGGTAGTCGTGAAAAACCCCGTTCGCGGTTGGTGTCAGGTGAACCCCAACCAGACCATACACTCCACCCTATATAAGGGTTGAGTGGGTTTCATTCCCACCTTTTTCCCCACCTTAGACTCTCTCTCTCTACTTTCTCTCTCTACAAAATGGGTTTTGGTCAAAAATCGCCCCTTCGAGCTTCAAATCGGTAAGTAAACCTTCCTAGCTTGTTGTTTATCTTATCGATCTTGCAAATTCGTGTTTAAATTACCCAAAACCCTCAAGAACATGAGTTTACGGTCTAGGAACATCTTCATGGACCGTAAACACTCATAAATGGGGTTTAATGCTCAAAAACCCTTCTAAACCACTTCTAGTGCTTAGCAATGACTTAAGGGCTTGCATGAAAGGAATTAGAACACCAAAATAGTACCAAAAGGGGAGTAAACATGAGGTTATGGTCTAAGAACATCCTTAGACCCTAAACCCATATTCATGGACCATAAACACCTTTTTAGGTATTAAGCTACCCCTTAAACACCTCTAAAAGCTTCCATGAGTGCCTAGAGCCTTGTAATCCTTCGGTTGATACACCAAAACATAGGATTCATGGACAAAATGAGTTTACAATGTAAAATCATGTGTTTAAGGTAGTAAACTCCCCAAGAACATCTCCTTAGACCATAAACACCTTCCCAAGGTGTTTAAGTGCCTTTAACACCTTCCTATGCTCATAAAAGTGACAAGAACCTTGCATGCATGAGTTAGAACCACCAAACGACAAAAGGAATGGACCAACATGAATTTACGACCATAAACTCATGTGTTTATGGCTGTAAACTCCTCAACGAGTGTCAATGGACCGCAAACTCCTCAAATGGTCATTTTGAGGCCTTAAGCCCTTCATAAGCACTAGAATTGAACCTAGCCTAGTTCCACAAGTGTTATAAGACCTTAATGCATCAAAGAACACACCACCCATGAGTGTACGACTGTAAAATCATGAGGATAAGGTCTTAGGGTCGTAAACTCTATAAAGAGGTTACTCTTGAAGAGTAAACTACCTATTTAGGCCATACACACCCTTAGATGTTACCCGTGACACTCCTAGCACTTAACCAAAGTGTTTTTCCGCACTTTAGGATGCGTATACGTGTTTAATTAGTATTATATTTACAAATTGTATGTAAACATATGTCATCGTATGTTAATAGGTCACTAAGGGTGCTCAAGTCTTTACTTGACACCGAGCACCCAACCGACACTTTCGTTCGATCCGCTTACAACAGGTGAGTTCATACCCCTGAATTAACCTTTTTAAATGTTTTTACATGCTTTTATGGCGGGGAATACAAGTTAAAACATGCTAGTTATCATAGTAATCATATGTGATTGATAACCCGCATGCACAAGGATTTATTACACTGTCAGTTGTTTTACCAAGTATAATACCATAGATGGTTTTCCAAAACGTTTTTACTTGTTTAAATCTCTTCTCAAATTATCTCTCGTGCTGTAGGTTTTACTTTAAAACCAGTTACAGGAGTATTTTAAACAAAGGTTTTCTTTACTTATAAAGCTATATTTAAAACTTGTTATGAAAGATTTTCAAGGATTTCTAAAGGTTTTCAAAACTTATTTTACAAAAGGATACCAATTCATGATTCAAAGTTTTCGTTAAAGTTTTCTTTCATGCTTTTATGCTTCTACTTTGTAGAATACTACTATTTCGTTATGCTTCTACTTCGTTAGATGCTACCACTTCGTTATGCTTCTACTTCGTTAAATACTACTACTTCGTTAAACGCTTCTACTTTGTTAACGCTTCTACTTCGTTAAACGCTTCTACTTCGTAAACCCTCCTACTTTGTTAACGCTTCTACTTCGTTAAACGCTTCTACTTTGTTAACGCTTCTACTTCGTGAAACGCTTCTACTTCGTGAAACGCTTCTACTTTGTTAAACGCTTCTACTTTGTTAATGCTTCTACTTCGTTAAACGCTTCTACTTCGTTAAATGCTCCTACTTAGTTAAATGCTACTACTTCGTTAAATGTTTCTACGTCGTTAAATGCATGCCTGTACTTGTATAGTTATATAAATAATGTTTAAAGGACTTAGGAAGGCTAGTTCGCCATATTTCCTTTTCCTCGTTGGGATGTGGTCTGGTGGGTATCGGATATCCGTCCGAAGGCCGTTTAAATATTAATTATATATCATGTATACATGTATAGACATGAAGGTTTACATCAATCAGTTCAGTAGTGACTCTCTACCGTTAGTCCAGCACTTACATCAGAATCCACTATACGAGATACATCTTGAAGACGCGGAACTCCCCGTTGTCGAGTTGGTGACCAGAGTCTCCTGTAGGGAGAGCGGGCATTGTGTGTATAAATCTATATGGGATTGACACCCCCGCACCGGGACTACTAGCTACAGTCCACGGCCTACCAAGCCAAGGGGTGACAAATGTCATATTTATTCCGACGCTTGCAGGGCGTCAAGTACTCTAGTGTCGATCAGTATGGTTACGAGTATCTCCATGTTTACCTTATAATTCATGGCCTTAAGGTAACGAGAATTAACACTGTATTCTGAAACCACACTCTTAGGATCACTCCTTTTTTTAGACCTTGCTAGCTGTATCTTTCATTTGATACTGTCTGGGGTCTGACTCTCTTTGTTTAGACCTTGCTAGCTGTATCTTTCATTTGATACTGTCTGGGGTTTGTGTTTTCTTTGTTTTAGACCTTGCTAGTCGTATCGTACATTTGATACCGTCCGGGGTCTGTGTTTCCTTTTGTTAGACTGAGTCAGGCGTGTCGTTCATTCGATACTCTCCTGGAGTCTATGATTTCTTTTGCCTTAGTCAGCAGTATTTTCTGCTGAGGCATATGTATTTTCCCCTAGTATTTTTTTACTAGAGATTTCTCCTACTTTCTTTAAAGTCAAATACCGTATTTTGGTACTGATAGTATTTCAAGGAAAAGTACTCTGTAAAACATAACACTGTCGAGTCTTGGTAGAAGACTGCTTTTAATTAGAAAATATAGGATTTTCTGGAAAGGACTCTAATACACCGAAGATTTAAACTACTACTTTTTA